TGATAAGCTGACTCTAGGGCAGAATCTCAGAATGAAAGTACCCAACTCTGTGGTCACTTTAATGGACACTAAAGGACATTTTTTGCTCTCTAATGTAAGAACACCTGAACCAAGCCATGCTCCTTCCAGTCAGTGGAAGAGAGACTGACCAGGACTGTATAGAAGTTATAGATAATGTGTATTCTAGCAGACCTGACTTGCATGACCAGCCTTGGACAGTTGCAAACTGGGACTTATATGTAGACTGAAGCAGTTACATGATGCCACAAGGTGTATGGTGGGCTGGGTATGCAGTGGTTACCTTAACAGAGACTGTAGAGGCTAAGCCCCTACCCCAAGGAACATTGGCTCAGAAGGCTGAGTTAATTGCCTGGACTCGAGCCTTAGAACTAACTCAAGGGAAAAATGTGAATGCTTTTCTGACTCTCCAAGTACACGGGGCGTTGTACAAGGAGAAGGGACTATTAAATTCTGGGGAAAAGGACATTCAGTATCAGCAGGAGATACTTTAGTTGCTAGAGGCAGTATGGAAACCCCCGAAGGTGGCAGTGATGCACTGTTGTGGACATCAAGGGGATGCTTCCATCATCACTAAAGGGAACACTAGGGTCAGTACTGAGGCAAAAAGGGCTGCATTCAGACCATACCAGGTGTTGTGAGTGGCTCCCCTCATCCTGTGGGTTCTGGAGTTCTCACCTACCTACTCTCAGGAAGAGAAGGCACAGTTGGCAGCAGAGAGGAGCCAGGAAATGGAGGAAGAATGGATAAAAATGCCAGATAGGCAAGTAGCTCCCCAGGTTCTAGGAGCCACCGTGGTGACACGAGTATTTGATGAAGTTCCTTGGCAAGTACCTCTACATCTCCCACCTGGCAGCTGTGGCCAAAACTGTCAGTCTACAGTGTGTCACTTGCAGCCAGTTCAACACACGCCAAGGACTGATGGTACCCCCAGGAATCCAGTTGTATGGAGCAATGCCATTTGAGTACTTCCAGGTAGACTTTACTGAAATGCCCAGGTGTAGA